CTTATAGAAAATTTTATTGCAAATTTAGTCATAAATTTGCAAAGAGTTCGCAACAGTGCGAACTTCATCGCAAATGTATTTTTTTACTATTGTTTAAATTATTAGAGCTTTCTCGATATAATTTAATAGCTATGTCAATGATAATTTTAATCTGAGGTATAATGCTACTTAGAACATTTTTTCCTGCTGGAAGTTCGATTTTAATTCGCATATTGAACTGCTCTTGCATGATGGAAAAGTTTCGATAAAATTTGTGTCACTCTTATGGCGGCCAAAATTTCAAAATTATTATAAAATATGCGATTTTAGATCTGGGGCCGGTTGTATCAAGCCTGTTTAGCTTAAACAGTGGTTAAGCTCAAAATAGAAAGCAAGTCTATATATAGTCAGATTCATTCAGCAACCAAACTAAAAGTTTTAAACCTTGATAGGACGATAATGTTTACAACTACATATTTAATGCACAATATTTAAGTTGACTGATTCACAAGAGAAAAAAGAGTGTTATTTTATTTTGACTTATCCACCGTTTAAGCTATTAAACAGGCTTGATACAACCAGACCTAGTGGAGAAAAGAAAAACTGGAAATGTAAGGAAATTTGAAATGATCAAGTGGATGCATGTCCTTTCCCGCTAAAATTGAAAAGGCGCTTCGAAATTTTTCAAGATGCTTTTTTTGCACAAGTTTCAGCATTTTTTGCCTTTTTTCTGGTTGGAAAATCGTCGAAAAGCATAAAAAGAACAATTAAATGGTCATTTAAAGGATTTTTTCAATATTTGAGTGAATATAATGGTTATTACCGCACAAAAATGGACTATTTTGACGAAAACTGGAACAGATATTGACATTCCATTGTCATTTTGGAAAGTTAAGCTTGGACGTGCAAATAATCAATGTGACGAATTGTCAGTGTCAGTGTCAAGCCGAGGTTAAATGTTACATGGTAAGAGCATTTATTAACGAGCTTTTATTACCTATTTTTGTTTTTAAGACATTTTAGAATGTATTTGGGGAATTTTTTATTGTTTTGAAAATGCATGTACCCTGTACAGTATGTTGTTCAATTTTCGGACAGTAAAGTGTTTTCACACTATATTTTGCGATTTAAGATGTTTAGCAGGTTCAAATTTGTACAGATGACGACCACTTCCCATGGCTATATTATTCTAAGAGATACGTCGCTAAAGTTCTTTACTTTTCTGTAATATCGAAAACAAGTACTTCATTTTCATCACCACATTTCGGACAGCTGGTCCGCTATTCGGACACTTATAATAATAGTCGGTTTTCTGTCGAAGGTAAGCTGTATTTTGATATATACTGGAATTTAAG